TACCTTGTAACCAACACTAGTAACCAAAATGGTCCAAATATATGGAGAAAATATGGTTACATTAACATTGCGATGTCATTGGACCTGACCACCTCTGGTCCAACGCTGCATAACATGGGACCACTTTTGGATCCACCACTGCATAACATGGGACTACCTAGACAACTACTCCTTTTGGATCATGGCACATTCGGCAACCGAATCATATTGCCGATCGGCCACGAAGAGGTGGTGTTCAACACATATATCAGTTTTCTACGTTTGAAGTGGTCCAGGTCAGCATAACAAGTTACTAGTATGCAGCCTGGTCCTTTTGCTCATACTTTAAAACTACGACCCAGTGGACCACCTGGTCCTCAAATTTTTGCAGGGTACTTACTCACAAACAAATCTACCAATAATTACTGGCAGTAGATAACCACTGACTTACTGGCTGACGGTAGTTTCGTCTAAGCATGCAAACACTTACCCATGATCATTACAAAGTTATTTGTTTGTATGTATGCATAGTAATGTTATCATGTAATGCGCCTCATTGTTTTGTCTCTCAACGTAATGTTTATCATTTCTCTGTTTGATATGTAAAGTAGTAGTTTGCTTGTCGCAAACAACTTGAAATTTTCTTAAGACTGTTAATGTTGCAAACAACCGCACACAAACACACTTACATGCATGCATACATACGAGTACTTCAAGCATAGTTTAAGTAGACATTTTCTAAAATCTTGAGAAATTATGTTATTTATGTTCGCTAGAGGATAGAAAAGTTGTTGTATGTTAGTTGATTTTCAACGCAAATCCTGCCACAATTAGTACGGAAGTTAGTTAAGCTGTGGTTGTTAGGTAAATTTCCGGTTGAGTTGCCTCTCGGCTGGCATGTCAAATACATACATACATAAGTCTTAGATAAAGAAGTGATAAGAGTCCAGGTGAATGTTGATACTTCTCATACACACATATAACTATCATATTTACATCTGTATGTGGTACAACAAGTATGTGGTATACTACGTACATACATCCATACATATGTATATACTTAGAATAATAGTCTGGGAACCCTGCCTGGGCTGAGTTTTTATGCATACCCTTATGGTGCAGCAAACTCAGATAACAAGAGGACATAAGCAAACAACAAAATTTTAATGAAAATCTTATTTTCATTTCTAGGGAGTACTTAGATTAGATTAAAGAGCACATACTTGGGTATACTTGAAGTCGAATTTTTAAGTAAAGAGAGCATGGTTATAACTGTTAAAAAACCCCAATTAATCAGATTTTGTAGGATATTGCATAAAAATAAGTGAAGTTTTGATTTTAAGATTCAACGAATGCTTTTCGTGCACAAACTTAATGCAAGCGAAAATTATGTAGCCGTCGAAACATTACTCAGCTAAAGAAGTACATCAAACACCGCCTCGATATCGGCACATTAGTTTGGAGCTTCCAAATTTGAATTAAATTTGAACGGAAATTGCCATCGAAATTTATATAATAAATAAGTATGTATATTATAGGGTGTTTGTTTGATTTTTTCCTTTCGGGCAAGGGCACTCCAAAAAAGTAAGAAAAAATGCAATAAAGTATTAAAAAGGAGTTAAAATAATACCAAACGTGAATTTATCACTGATTTTTATTTGTTTTACTTTTGATCTAATAAAATATTTGAACTTAATTTGCTTTACTCTCTTCGAAATAAAAGCTATTTTTTCTATTAATAGTTTTATTATAATTTTTGGTTATGACTTCATACCAACGTAAACATTTTCACTGTATGAAAACTATGTAAAATAAAACCGGTTCATACATTTTTTTTCTCAATTTCAAAATCGGGAACCGGTGTTTTGGAATTGAAATTTTTCGAATAACATGAAAAACGGTTTTGGAAAAGGCGAATAATTGTACACTCCAGCATATATATACCCTTAATGCTTCTCATTCGCAACGTTGCAGGTACTTGATACTCAGTTTCGTAAAAAATTAAATTATAAATATATCTTTCTAGAAAGTCTGCATTTTTTTCTTCAACTCGTTACGTAAATTCAGCGAATACTTTTGGTGCTGCATATTTCACAGCCCATAGCAATGCTCTTTGATTGCAATTCGGTGGACAAACCCCGACTGTGCGGCCGAGCTCCTCCACGTAGTTGGAGCTTTTCTATCTAACCAGGAGATTATAACAGTTACTGTCGCAGTCAGTACTTTGGGCCACAGTACTCCGCCGCTTGTCAACCTCTTGCTTCGGTTGACAAAGGACAGCTAAGTGCTTCGGAAAATGCACTACCAACGGTCTCTATCTATTTCCGACAGCATAGAGGGGTGAGAAACCATTACGTCCATGTACCCGAAGGATGCCTAAGACAAAATTCACTTTCATGCGATGGATTAAGGCTACCGAGCGTACCAGGCTATTAAAAATAAATATGCGAGTAAGCGAAATAGGTTGTAGAAAGAGAGCGAAAGAGGTTTCAAAAAGGGAAAGGTTTTTGCCAACCATACGCCGAGTGTGGCTATTGCATCATCACACGGCACGGCTATTGCGAGGTGGCCAACGGTAAGCTGCGGGTGGCACTTGCCATTTCCAACAAGGGCAAGTCAATTATGGAGAAGTGGGGTAGCACTGAAACATGAATGTCCGAACTGGTTGGGTAAATTCAGCTCCACGAAGGTAGTGCGCGAATGCAGAGTGGTCAAGTGTGAGAACCAAATATCTAAGGTCTCCTTGGAGGAGAGCTTTGCAAGTATTAGCGATATTTAGAAGGGCTCGAGGCCCGAGCTGATCACTGCCGGTAGATCACCTGGAGGCTTATCAGCGAGCCGCTGCTGAAGTAAATTTTCTGCAAAAAACCGCAACATTTCATTGAACCTTCCTACTGCATATTGGTGTGGAGAGCATTGAGGCTTTGAATAGGACTGATTTTCTCTTTGCTTTGGCATATGGTGAAAATTTTCCGAGCGAAGACTGTGGCTNCCTGCCGGTAGATCACCTAAAGGCTTATCAGCGAGCCGCTGCTGAAGTAAATTTTCTGCAAAAAACCGCAACATTTCATTGGACCTTCCTACTGCATATTGGTGTGGAGAGCATTGAGGCTTTGAATAGGACTGATTGTCTCTTTGCTTTGGCATATGGTGAAAATTTTCCGAGCGAAGACTGTGGCTGAAAACTAAACTGAACATTTTCCAAATAAACCTCTGGCCTACGAAACTGGCCAAGAACAACTTTTCCTTTTTCTTGGTGGGCGTATTACACTTATTCATAAGCGTTGTATCTGTAATCATCAAATGCCTTATTCCTCTATCGTGTTCAAAAAATCATGTAAGATTAGTTTGTGGCCAAATGGAACGAATCTAATGTCTTTAGTTTAGCTGATACAGGTGAAATACTAGATATACCTTTTTTTAACATGAAAATCACTGTTTGAAGAAATGTATGTATTTATTTACGTCCAAGCATAGCAAAAATTGACTTTGGAATGGATTTTCTGCAAATCGAAACATATCTATGTGGGGACATGTTACTTAGGTTTACGAAATTTTTCGCTGACCCCGCCAAGAGAAGGAACTGAGTTTAAGAGGGTTAAGGGGTTTCACCTGCATAATTTTGACGTTTTCTATAATAAATCCGAAGCTAAGCCTAAATATTGAACATCGTGCATAAAAAGTGCTTAAACTCACTCCGGCTCAATTCTCAGTAAAAATCTTTGAGTTTGACATCACCCCATCAGTGAAAAAACTGAGTTGAGCTTAACCTCACGTTTTGTGCTTGCGACCCATTGTATTGAAAATTAATTCTCACAACACTTCGAAATTTTCTTAGGACTTTTCGAATTTTCCGGGCGTTTCGAGATATATTTACGAATTTCCAAGATTTAATTATATGCTAATTTTTACAGAACTCAAATGTTTGCGAACCTGGTTTCCTTTTCGCTTCTTTCCCTAGTTTGTAATAAAATGTTGGTATTAATTATAAGAATTAATTTTCTTTTTATCTGGAAGCTCAATTACAGCTGTTCTAAAATTTCTGAACCGCTATATAGCAGCGTTCAAAAGCGCGAAAGACAAGCACCCCAGCCCACTTAGAGTTGC